AGTCACATGATAAAGTGGCAAGCAAGCATTGTTGAAATCATTCTTCGTAAGACTTTTCCAAATAAAAACGCTTTAATTCTCAATGTTTCTAATGCTTTAAATTACAGTGTACTAATTAAATATTAGTTTTACTATTTTTCCACTTCCCAAAACATTTATAACTGACTATGAGAGAATTTGTAATGTTTTTGACAAACTTTTTTCTCTTTTTGAGACAAGGTCTCGCCCTGTTGCCTGGGCTAGAGTGCAGTGGCATCATCATAGCTCACTGTAGCCTCAAACTCTGGGGCTCAAGCAATCCTCCTGCCTCAGCCTCCTGAGTAGCTGGGACTATAGGCATACACCAACATGCCCAGCTAATTTTTCTATTTTTTGTAGAGACAGGGTCTCACTCTTGCTCAGGCTGGTCTTGAATTCCTGGCCTCAAGCAATCCTCTCGCCTCGGCCTCCCAGAATGCTAAGACTATAGGCATGAGCCACTGCTTTTTGATGTTTTTGACAAACATTTTTAAAGATCACAGAGCAATCATAATTTTCTCCCATTGAACAAGAACATGACTTTGCATGGTTTCAACTTGCACATTTTTGTGGTTCCATTACCATGCAAAGCAGGAATGCTTATATTTAAAATTAATGTGTTAAATGTATCATTTAAGAACTTAGAAAAAAATATCAATGAAGAAAACTGGTATTGTTTTTTAAGTTCTCAAATATTTGTGAATGTGTGAAGTGGCAATAGAAAGGTATCTTTCTAGTTACTGATACTTCAGAAGCTACAAGGCACATCATCGCACTTCATCTTTGACCTGCAAGGTGAGGCCATCATCCATTTTATGTATGACTAACCCACTTATAAAGGTAAGTGTTGCCCAAGGTCACACAATAAGTTGACAACAGCAATGTAGTAACAGTAACCTTTACCAAGCATCTCTTAGGTGCCAGGCAGCATACTGTCTGGCAGTCTCAGAGGAAAGTAAAATCTGGCCTGACCTCATCGACCTGGATCACAGGATCTCTCCTGAGCTCCAGCTGGGTGGGGTGAGCCCTGAAGCCCAGGTAGCACTGATTTCTCTACCATCCTTGGAGGGTGACTGCCTCCATAACCCTTGCTCACTGTTGCTTGGCTGCAAAACACATTGCTAGGGACATGTGACCCAATGTGGTCACCCATGGAGGTTATGTCTTACCCACATGCAGAAGGAGGTGACGGCCAAGTTTACCCTTAGGGCCTATAGCCACCCCGAGGGAACACTACACCCTGCAACCACACAGGAAGAAGTCAACCAGGAGGCTCCTGAGAATGAAGGTGACAGATGAAGTACTTGGCACACAGTGAACACTTAATGAGACCCGAGTTTCTCTACGGAAGTGCGGCGTCACAGAAGTTATGCAATACTTCTAAGACAACTCCCATATGTTACTTCTCTGTAACACCTATCATCTTTAACCGATAACACCTGGTGTTTATGGTCAGAAACCTAGTGAAACCTCCATTTCCAAGGGACTGGTGACTGCTAACCCCTACACCTGTCAGCCCACTCTGCCACTAATGATAATTTCTCATTCCCTTCTTGAAAAGATCCCCATGTGGGGGTCCCATGTTCTTCTTTAGTGACCCCTTCTCGGCTGACTCTTTCCTGTTCCCTTCGCCTCAGTGAAGAGCAGCACAGTGCAGAGGTGAAGAGCTCAGATTTCAAAGTCGGACCACTGACTAGTTGTGTGACCTAGGACAAGTCATTTCATCGTGCTGGCCTTATTATAAGAGAGAGAGTTCAGGCACCTACAGCCGACTCCCAGGGCTGCGTGAGGACTCAGTGAGAACACATACACAGTGCTCGGCCTTGGGCTGGCATACAGCTCTTATGTTTGCTGTTACTGCTACTGTGTAAATGTGAGCAACCAATTACGGGGGAAAAGCAGTTTAGGCAATTGTAGGCACATTGTGTAAGAACATACTCATTGCAAGAGAAGACTGGAAAGAAATACAACAATGGCTGACTGGTCATACAAGGGTGATGGTCTTCATTTTCTCTGTTCCCCCAATTTTCAACACGAGGCTGTGGGGATCGCAGGTGAGAGCAACGGCTGAGCAGACCACGCAGGGAGGAAGAAGGGGGAGGAAAGAGAGGAGAGAAGCAGAGGCAGGGGAAGTGCACCATTTAATGGTTATAAGATACCCAAAGACTTAAAAATTAAAAAACAAAAACGTAAGGGCAGGGGGAAAAACCAACTACCCTAACGCCCTACTCTTCCTCAGTGTTTAAATTCCCGCTTCCTAAATAGGAACAGACTGGGAAGGATGATTGTGGTCTTCTGGAGAACTAAGTGAAAAAATGAAAAAGGACCCAGGGAAAAAAACAGTTACACACACAGCCTGGCCCATGTCGGAGAAAAACATTATTCCAATCAGAGACATGCGCAAAACTCAGAAGCACCATGTACATCCAAAGCACGGCTAAAGTGAGAAAATTTCTGTAAGTTCTTCCCTTTTATTGAAGGTTGTTGAAAACAGACCTTTAATACTAGAGATACCTGATGTCAGGGCTGTCATCAGGCGATCTCCTAACAGTGATGTCCTTTCCTCCTCTGTATTCCTTGGCTACCATGTTGGGGAAGGCTTTCTGGCAGCTGGGTCATAGGAGTGTGATCTAAACTGGGCTGTGGGAATTGAGGGGCTGTGTGCTGGGGCTTCTGGGCAAAGGTTTTCTGCTTTGTAAAAGAGCACACCTGAGAAGAAATTCCCTTCCCTGCCTTTGGAGACACTGGCAAGAGAGAGGATGTGATGGGCTGGACTAGTAATGGCAGCCGTCTTGGCACCATGAAGAAATGAGCATGAGGATGAGGGGAGAGAGAGAAGGAATCTGGGTCCTTAGTAATGATTAGCCAACTGGGAACCTACTTCTCCTGGCCTTATGTGGAACAATAAACATGTTTACTGCTTAAATCACTATTAGTTGGGTATTTTGTTACTTTTGGGCTAAAGCACTCTAAATTATTCACACAGCAATGTGTGAGCTGATGTTAGAAGATGTCTAAATGGAAATATCTACAGCTAGAATTCAGAAATGGTGCTGTAGTCTTACTAATAGAGGCCAATCCAAAAATGATTCATGATCTTCACATATGTAATAATACCTCTTCAAGTTTTCTCATATGAAATTTATAAGTTTCATAATGAGTTACGAATACCAATATCAAAAGGCAGTAACTAGGCAATAAAATCTTAGAAAATGAGAAAAACAATACAATCTACTTTTGGTCTTTCTGTCTATGAATTGTCCACTACTCTTCCATATAGGAAATTTAAACAGATATAGGGTGGTATTTTAGTCTGAACTTTATCAACAACAAAATAAAAACTAAGTGAGTCAAAGAAGTTAACTTTAGCCTTCCAAAAGCAACTCTTCCTGAGATAGTATTTTATCATGAAATTGCTGTAAACGAGTAGAAAATCAGTAACTACGTGAGATAGTGAATATGAGTGAAAGGACAACTTGAAACAAAAGTTATAAAATAAAACTTGAAGCAAAAGTTATTTCCTGTTCCCTCTGAATAAAATACATATCCAAATGAAAGAAACTTTACCAGCGCAACATATTTTCCTCACTGAAACTGAAGTTCTAAGCCTGTGTTTATAACAACATTGTTGCTGTGGAAATAGTTGATTCAACACCAAGAACTGCAGCTGAATAAAGTAAGGTGTGTAACAGAAGTCTTATTTAAACAGTGGCAGGACTATAAAACATTAAAAAGGCAAGCTGCATGCTGGTGAATCAGAGTACCATATGTTTTAATGTGAGGGTCACACTTTTTTTTTTTTTTTATTTCTGATTCATGACACAAATAGGATGTTTCTTTTTAATTTAGTCCTATTTTTGGAAGCCTATAATCATCTCGACTACTCCCCCTAAGGTTTGCTATCTGCTTCTGTCCACACGTGGCAGCCTGTATTTTATTAAATTCATTGACCAGAGTTACTACAGTTTAGTCCTTGTCAGAACATGCAGAAGTTATGGTACCCATCAGGGCACAAGTCAGGATTTTTAAAAACTTCTCCATGTAATCGAGTCTCTTAATTATGGCACATTGACTTATTCATCATAGGGTGTAACTTCTGGTGTATAGTCTTGTGTCTGCAGCTTTATAAACTCGAGCACAAAGTTTTCAGAGAATGTGAGTGAGAGTGCAGATCCACTCTGAGTCAGTTAAGAGTTTCCAACAATCCTGAAAACCCTAGAGACAACCCAGTGTGAAACAGTGTGAACTGTCTGCACCTTCCTTCGGAGATGCTGGCTCCTCCTCTGTTCCCCTTCCCACCTTTTAACTGGAGACGGCTGCACTTTTCTTTAAACACACATACTTTACTGTTCTTTTCCTTGGGTTTTCTGAACCTTTCAAATTATGATAAACGTTTTTAAGCCAGAAATTTACCCTGTGTACAATAAAACATATTTAGCAAGTTTTTAAAATGAGGGTGACGCATGGGACTATTTAAAAAGCGACCTTCCCCCCTTAGGAGTGAAGTGGCTCTGTAAATAGAAACCCAGGTCCCCTGCCCAGGGTGTGGCTGCCCTCTGCGCCTGCACAGGAGATCGATTCATACCAGCAAAACCGGAAAAATCACAACTGAAGGCAACCGTGGAAGCTGCGAGAGCCAAGAGCAGGACGTAAAGGAGTCGGGTTCTCTACTAGGTGAGTCACAGGAAACACTCCTGCCACAGTCTGGAGGCCCAGCTCCCCCATCGAGAGGGAATGTAGGTCAAACTCCTCTCCTAGGGACTCGACGCAGAAGCCAAAGTTCCTAGGAGAGCAGAGAGGCTGGCACAGAAACTATTCAGCTGCAGTCCCTTCCCTTGGCCCTCGAGCACCAGCCTAGCCAGCCTCAGTTTCCACAGACCATGGTCTAGCTCCCTTTCTATTCTGGATTGGGGCACCTCATGCATTCTTATCAGGGTTCATGGGGATGAAGTTGGGTTTACATATTGGAACCATCAGCTCACCCAGCTCAGTCGACACGGGGGACCCAGTAGCAATCTCACCAATCTTGGCCACTCCATCGTAGTAGGCTTTTCCTGCCAGGATCATAGCTAGACATGGAGGTGAAACACAAAATCATCACTTAGACGAGGAAAGGAGGAAGCAGGGGGTTGGTGGGGAGGACCCATCCAGGGGAGAGTGTCATGGGATCCTCACCTCAGACCAGCCGCAGGGAACCTTAGCAGCTGGTGCAAGACGTCCAGAGAAGGTCCTGCCTATTCCTGAAGCCAGTGTCAGAATGAATGTGTTCCTGACACTGAGGGCTGGGAACACATCCTCTCCAGCAAAAAATCTTTTCCAAACTGGTTATTCTATAGCACTACAAGTCTACAACACATTAGTCAGGAGGACTTGTGTGAGGTGAGGCCTAGGAACCTGATCCTTCAATGGTATATTCACTTTTTCTATTGAAAAAGACATTCTGAATCACAACCAACCAACATATTATATTTGTTGCCAGGGGGAAAATCTATGAAATATATTATCATTCCAAAAACAATAGAAATGCCTGAAAAATAACTGAATGTTTTACTTTTCTTTTTTTCCTTTTTGACAAAGACAGGAAAATTTTTATTACTATATAACCTGGGTTCTAATTATCTTAAAAATATTCTCACTTCAAACTGATTCTGAAGACTAAATTATAACTACATGCCCTCCTTTGGCGAATTACTTATCCTTTCTGAAACAAAGGTTGCTCATCTATGAAATGCCCTGAAATGTGAGCAGTGGATGAAAAATAGTAGCTCCTAATGCCAAATTGCTTCTTTCTCTTTGCAAGTTGGGTCTGAGGGGCTTGAAGGTGTACCATAAGCAAACTTTTCAAAAGACCTATTTAGTATGGTTTTGGATAAAATCATTTATTTTACTCAAAGATTAGTTTCATACATAGAAATCAGTTTCTCCTGGAACTTTGGAGACCAGAGGATTCTGGAGCTAAAAGAGCCCTCAGGAATCCCCTCATCCAGTTGCTTCCTTTCGCCGACAGAAAAACCAGAGGCCACAATAGTTTATACAGTGCTGTGCCCCAATGTATAATGGGTATTGTTCTAACAAGGTGGATTTTAAAAGGCAAGCATAAAAAAGGTGTGTGTATGTGGGAGGCACAGAATTAATTCATGTACAGGTCCAAATAAAGGTACTGGAAGTCAAAAGAGTAGTATTTTTCTGGAAAATTAATCTACTGTAGCATTTATTATAGAATTAAAAAATTACAGAAGTTATGGCTTTTACTATATATGTAGTATGTATACAAGTTTAGGGAATGTAATGCTATACTATACTATTATTTTATAAGGCTAGGAGTAACCTTAAAGTGTAATTATAAAAAGAACAATAGCAATTAGCATCTACATGGACTGGTCAAGCCATTACTTAATCTGGTGACAGTGTTAAGATGTGGGCTGGTAATGTTACCGGCTGGGCTCACTAAGGGACTGGAGATATTCTGGGGACGTGCCCAAGGTCAATGGTGAGTGGGCGGCAGCGTACGCAGCTCCAGCTAGGGCACTTCACTTCCTTGGTCTAAAGCTTTTTGACTGTTTGTTCTCAGAACTGAAGAAAAAGGGACACCACCTAAAAACAAGGTGTGTAGCCAATAAACTGCCAAGTTAATATATGTAATATCTTAGTATTAAGATTTTAAATTGTAAAGTTCTGATAAGCTGAAAAGCAAATTAGTGGGAGAATGGCATGCAGGATTACACAATATTTAAACAAAATTTTTGGTTTGCATCCACAAAATTTTTCATTAACTGTTGTTGACTTATGTTTAAAACCATGTAACCTTCTCAGTCTTGTAAAACCTTTGCTATTATGATAAAAAGCTGAATTAACTTAAAAATTATATAGTTTAGCCAAAATGACAAAATATTTTCATAATTTTATCCTTTGTGAACAAATTAAGGTATTTTCTGCAGCTTATTGTTTTAAGAAATGAAGCATTTTAATTCTATTTCAGTGGTTGGCCAACTACTTCATCAATCTAGATTAATCTACATACTTCTGCCTGATAAGTTTTCCTTAAAATATGGTTTCATTGAGTTACTGTCATGCTGAAAAGCCTTCAGTGGTCTCCTACTGCCCACAGTTATAAGCCCTAGAGCTCATGGTAGGTTTTTACATTAATGACCTTCTGTGAGTCACTCCTCCCAGAATACCCAGCCTATGGGGTCCCCTACTACACTGACAGGTGGCTTGGCCATGTGACTTGCTTTGGCCAACCGGCTAACAGCAAGTATGACTCCCACAGGGGCTTGTTCTCTTAGGACACCACTGATAATGGTGTGAGGACCCAGTCTGGCCTCCTTGAAGGGGAAAGACCCCATAGGGAGAGAGTGTACCCAGCCCCTAGCTCAGGTCCCAGTAGATGGAAGCTTCAGGAGTGAGCCCCAGGGGTCCTGAGAACTGCCTGCTTTTACAGGAGAAATAATAAGCTACATTGTCTTAAGCCACCAAGTTTGCTGTGAAGCAAGAGATGGCTGACACTGCATTCCAGTGCACATGCTATCTGACCCCATCCCACCTGTTCCCCACTAGCATCTTACCTGGGCCAGTGTGGATCCCAGGTCTTGGCTTAGTTGCCGTTTTTTCTCCCTAAGGCAGCGACTGCCTGCAGAAGCCCAGCATCTGTCAGCTAGCCAGCTCCTGCAGGCCTCCTGCCTGCTCTAGTCCACACTGACCCCCACTGCTCAAATTCCCATGACACTGGTCAATACTTCACTCTCAGCCATTCACATGTTGCCCTGTGTTCTAACCTAACTGTCAACTGCACATCTGGCAGCCTCAACTATCCTCCAAATTCTTACCAAGGACTTTGCAAATTTATCTGAATTTCTCAATGGCTTCAGCAAAGTACAACCAGATGGCCTGCAGAAACTCTGGGAATACTTTATGAAGTAGAGAATACTCCCCTGAAGGTGTTAAAGTGATAAGAGCCCTTTGGGGAGAAGCCTTGTTAGCAGGAAGCTGAGCTGCACACAGCTCACTGACTCACCTTGTAAAACTCTGCCTCAGAGAGGCAGCTCATTCTAGAAAGAAAAGAAAAACACTGCAGGTCATAGTGATTTACTTCACAAGGACGTCTAAAGCAATGACTTTGTGGCCTTGTGACTAAGCAATCATTGAGGCCGTCAGCAGTGCAAAGCTCTGGCTCTCTGTATGAGGGGGGCACAGATGTCACTGATACTGCTGGAGGGGAGAGAGGGAAACCCCAGACCTCTGGGCTTCCTGACACTGAAAGTGCAGAGAAGCAAAAGAAAGTAAACGAGCAGTTTATTTTTCCAGCGACGACTACAACAGTGCTCCTAATTACCCAAAGTCCACAGTCTGGCCAGTACCCCCTTCCTTGGGGTGTGCTCATGCTGAGGGTGAGGACACAGGTTTGTCTCCAAATATCAACAGGGAGGAACCAAAGGTGGGGTGTGGTGAGAGAGAGACAGAGAGACAAGTAAATGACACGAAACTTGATCCAAAGCTGCCTTCAAATCTAAAACTGTGGGAAACTAACTTTTCTACTTATGTTAGCTGGTGGTCTTAGTGAGCCAAGGTAGAGGGAGAAACTGGGGTCTGAATATTTTGGGGGTGACACTTGCCGTGCAGGGAGAATTGTCCTAACCATGTTAGAATTTGGTGATTGTTAGCATTTTAAGTTTTTGAGGTGATCATTAATGCATTATAACAACATTCGCTCCTTAATAAGGAAACACACGTATAGAGGCATATCAGCTTCCTCCATGGAAACTTCTTTAAACTAGCAACAAAAACCTGAGGCAAATACCAATACCCAAATTCATTTTAAATGAAGCACTTATTTTGAAATAAGAATCTAAGTCTAACCTTTAATTTAGATGCTTTCCCAGTCAGGCTTAAAATATTATTTCTCATGTTACTATCAAAAGTGATATATCCCCCCCAAAAAAAACTTAAAAAAAAGTGATACATCTAAAGATAAGAAATTCTTCTATATAAATAAAAGGAGAATGATTCCTGTACTGCAGGATGTTAACATATAAGTACTTTAAGTACACATTTTATACATATTTGTTATTAGTTTACAAAGAATTTGGTTCAAAAAATAGAAAAAATATTTAAGGCAATGATATAAAAGAATGAGCTGTGTCGAAGAAAACGTGGTTTGATAGTTAAAAATACATTACATATCATTCAATTGACTCATTGCACATACACTAATATAGTGTACTATCACTGTAAAGTTCTGTGGATTAATTGTTAAGTAAATTTTACCATTTAAAGATTTAAAAAATTCAATATTAAGCATTTAAAAATAATTAAAATATTTACTGAATGGTTTTTCTGTGTACTTTATATTTATCAACTTAGAAATGCAGGAAGACTTACCATTAACAGCTTTTTCATAATTTTTTCCTAGGTTTATCAAATTTCGTAGCCCAGGATTGAACTGTTCCATAACATTCTGACAAATAAACAAAACACACAAATTAATAAAATAAGCAGTAGACCAAATAATCTTTAGATTTTGTCACTGTGTGAACTAGGATACCTACATATGCTGAACAGTATAGTCCACAAAGTAATGAATGCTGATTTAAAAATCACGAAGAACACATTTCTTTACCTGATGGTATAGGACTGCTTGCTTGTGGCAAGGTGTATGTAATCCTGCCAGTTCTCCAGTTGCCCAAGGGACTGCCTAGAACCTACTATAAATGGAACAAGCAAGCAGCAGACATTCAGGTCTCACTACACCCCAAGGGGACTGTGGGCCCAGAGGCTAAACACACTCTCTTGGGTTTAAGTGGATTGTTGTTAATGGTTGTCATGCTACTGTTGAGAAAAGGTGTGCATGATCAGCTATCTGAACTTAACTATAAGGGCAACGTTTTGGCTGTCAACAGAATAGAAATTTTCAAGAGATTTTGTTTTTACTCTGCCTAATTACTGGGGTTGGAGGGGAGGGGGTGGCTGCTGATGGCCTAGGACACAGGCCCGCCTGGAACCTTCTTTATGGGTGGCCACTGGCACTTGTTTCTAGTGATTGGTTTACTCACTAAGGACCCATGGAGTAGCTACTGTGTGCCACATAGCTACTTGTGCACATAGCTAGGATGAGAAGACATGGCTCCCTCATGGGTTTCATGATGCAGTATCCATGGTTTTCATTTTAAAATGTGTCATTCCTCTATCAGTATATCGTAAATGTAGAGACAGATGCTATGACAAGCGTAAGATGTGCAATTAATTAGAATGTTGGTCTAAATTTAAAATACCCTGAATATGAAGTACAGACAACAAATCACTCCTATGATGCTCTGACTTCGTGGCTCAGAACACATGGTGATCGTATGCATTTGTTCCACTGATGAACAATGAGCTTCATGATATTAATCATTCCAACAGACCAAGTCCCATTCCCCCCTCCCCAAATATGTACTGTTTATAGACAACTAGACGACAAAAAGAACGAAAAACTACCCAACAAAGGGGCAGATACTTTACACATGTACCCTTCAGAATAAAAAGGTTCTCCTTTATGAATTAGAAGAGAGAACATGACAACTTTTGTTTCTATCAAACAGTGATAAAGGCTTTGATAAAGGCTTACAGTGAAAAACAAACCACGCCTCAACCTTTCCACACCCCTGATCTTGCTCCCAAGAGCACTTTCAACTAAGCTGTTATTCTTGTATTTACTGCCGTAGTTTTGAATATTCTTGATTTCCCAGTTTTGGACAGTAGCTCCAGGCTTCCTACTACGATAGATAAGGACTGAGCTCTCCACACCACCCACTTTCCCTTTCCAATCCTTCCTACACGATTAAATGGCAATTTCCTGATAAATCAGCAGTCAGTGTTTGCTACGACTTTGTAAATGTTCGTCACTACAATGCAAGCAATGTACTAAGGATTACATTTCCTTTCTGGGTAAAGCCTCTTTGTTTTTCCTGGGATTAATAATTGTCTCATCCACCCTTGCTTAGTTTTCTATGTATCTACCTTAAATTTTTCCACATGCTTCATCAGACCTAGCAGAGGCCTATCAATATTATTTTTCAAGTGAATAAAATTGTCAGCTAATCTTCCGCTCCATTTTTTTCTCCAGAATATCTTCCAAGTACTCTCTGTCCTCTTGCTCAGTCTGGCCTGTTCCTAGTCTGCTACACTGTTGCCCTAGAGTGGCCTTTCTGGTGGCCTGTGTCAGAGCTCTTATTAGTTGGATCCACCTCTTCCTCTTTCTCGTTCTTTCAGATGGAGTCTCACTCTGTTGTCCTGAGAAGAGTACTGTGGTGTCAGCCCAGCTCACTGCAACCTCCAACTCCTGGGCTCAAGTGATCCTCCTGCCTCAGCCTCCTGAGTAGCTGGGACTACAGGTGCACACCACCACGCTGAGCTAATTTTTTCTATTTTTAGTAGAGATGGGATCTTGCTCTTACTCAAGCTGGTCTCGAACTCCTGCCTCAAGAGATCCTCCCATCTCAGCCTCCCAGAGTGCTAGGATTATAGGCGGGAGCCGCCATGCCCGGCCCTCTTTCTTCTTTTGCTGTAGAGCATTCTCCAAAAATGTTCTAGGAAATGATACATGAGAGGTAAATCAAAGTCCCCGCATGTCTGAAATTACCTTTACCTTGACATTTGTTATTTTGTTATATTGACAA